ATTTTATAATTAAGGAAGTTATTAATACATATTATTTAAGGAAATTTAATAAAAGAAATAATGAAAAAGGTAACGTTTCAACATTTAAATATATTATATTATTAAAATCTTGATTTTAATGATTTTGTATTCAATGAATCATGAAACATTTTATGAAGATTTCAGCAAATATATGGATGAAATCGTGGGTTGATGTTGGTTAGGAAAAAAAAAACAAATGTTCATGAAACTCTATAAACATGAAGAGGTTTCATCTGTCAATGACTTATTTGCTTCTTCAAAGCATATGGTATACATCAATGGTGTCATGATGGCTAAAAATTTTATATTCTAATTGATGCATGATTCGTGAAATATTTTCATGGTGTTCCGAATTGCTTTGTGATTCAAGTTGATTCGTTTTATTGGTATAATGAAATGGGTTCATGATGATGAAACAGTTTCATTTTGTAATTGATTCGTGATTGATGAACTAGTTTCATTGTGAGCAACGTTGCATTGTAATTGAAGTTGATCCGTTTAGTTAGTAGAATGAAATGAAACGGGTGCATAATGGATTTTGTTCTTTATAAAATATACGTATCGTGAAACAAGTGCATAGTATATTTTATTGTACATGAAATTAATGTGAATGTAAATGTTTTCATGTGAAAAGGTTTCAGTATATAATAGTTATTTAAATAGGTTCATGTTGGTAAAACATTTTTCGTTTTATAATTGATTCGAGATTAAAGAACTAGTTTCATGGTGAAACAATTTCATATTATTGTACATGAAATTAATGTTCATATAATTGTTTTGATGTGAAAAGATTTCATTACGAAATAGTTAATCAAATAGGTTGATGTTGGTGAAACGTTTTCATTTTATAATTGACTCGATGTTGAAGAACTAGTTTCTTGATGAAAAAATTTCATTTTTATTTTACATGAAATTAAGTTTCATGTAAATGTTTCATTGTGAAAAGGTTTCATTATGAAATAGTTAATCAAATATGTTGAGGTTGGTGAAACATTTTCATTATGTAATTGATTCGTGATTGATGAACCTGTTTCATCGTGAGCAACGTTGCATTGTAATTGAAGTTGATCCGTTTAATTGGTAGAATGAAATGAAACGGGTGCATAATGGATTTTGTTCTTTATGAAATATACATATCATGAAGCTGGTGCATAGTATATTTTGTTGTACATGAAGCTAATGTGRATGTAAATGTTYCTATGTGAAAAKGTTTCATAKTATAAAAAGTTATTTAAATAGGTTCATGYTGGTGAAGTATTTTCATTTTATAATTGATGCGAGATTGAAGAACTAATTTCATGGTGAAACAGTTTCATTTTATTGTTTATGTAAATTTTTCTATGTGAAAAGGTTTCAAACAGTTTCATTGATGATGAACATACTTCATGGATCAACTTCACACAAAACAACATGTAATGTGTAATGGGCCACTTTAATCAATGAACCTGTTTCATAGTTGTTTTTCATCATGATGATGAAGCATGTTCATTATCTACTACTATAGGCATATTGTCCAAAGTAATCCTCTAGTCATATTATCCAGTTCAATGAAACATGTTCATGGATTAAAGTCATCAATTACATAGAATCAGCCACGATTTCGATAAAACTAAAATGTAAAAAAAAATTATCAACCACTGTTAACATTGACTTCACTTTAATAAGAATGAAACCACTTGGGGTTTCTTCAAATAGATATGCATTTTGTCCCAAAATCATGTATTATACAAATTTACATCTTTAAAACGAAAAATGCAGAAATGAATTACCTGTAGAATCCTTAACGACTCTCTTCTTGCCTCTGTTCTTCATTTGTTGGTTAATGAAATCCAAGTCGTTACCTTCATCATCGAGTTCAACAGGTCGGTCTTTATCGTTAGTAAACTTTGAAAAACTATTCATCTCCCTCAATCTATGGCTAAAACGCCTCCTACCTGTAAAAGACCAAGGGATTACAATGCTTCAAAGATCTCCAATTTCACTGTTCGATTTCTATAAAATCGAAGACGA